AGAATGCCAGAAGATATGCCAGATAGAATGCCAGAAGATTTGCCAGATAGAATGCCAGAAGATATGCCAGATAGAATGCCAGAAGATTTGCCAGATAGAATGCCAGAAGATATGCCAGAACATATGCCAGAAGATATGCCAAATAGAATGCCAGAGGATATGTCAGATAGAATGCCAGAAGATTTGCGAGTAACAAAATGTGTAAATGTCATGGTGGGGATCACGCGAAGTAAAGTAATTTTAATGGGGATATATATATCTATCTATCTATATCTATCTCTATATATATATATGTATACATATGTATATATAAAATATGATGATATATGGGGATATGATTCATGATAGTAACACTGGGTTAGTTCATCCCATTTACTGTAGTTCAGGAGAAGCAGGGGCAATGTCCAGTTATAAGCTGTACCAGGGGTGATGTTAGCCTCTTGCGAAGTTCCCTTAAACCAATCCATGGGGTAAGGCAGTAGGGGAAGCGCCAGCCGAAACGTTGGTTTTTTCAGCCAGCCGAAACGGTGGGGTTTCTTCGCAGCATCAAAACTGAGGATCTCTAAATCCGATCCAAACAGTGGGGAATTTTAGCATCAGCCAGTGGGGATTTTCAAACATATTTTAACCATCAAACATCCGACATCCGCATCAATCATCCGGGGATTGGTCTGGCTAGAAAGGTGGGACCATCTTGATTTTGTGCTGCTCATCAAAGCAGGAAGGTTGCGCTTCATTCCAAGATGAAGTGGAAGTAGCACAGATTTTTTTTGTGTTATCAATGCGGCTTGTGGCTGCCTTCACTGCATTCCCAGTGAATCACAGTGAGTCTCAGCCAAAAATCTTCCAATGACATGTTCATAGCATTCAGATTTACTGTATCCCATGTATATCATGTATATCCATGTATTAATTACCCTGAAGATACGTGCATATAGTTGATCACACCGGTCTCATCCACACCGGTCTCATTCACTGCTTTTCACGAACCGAGATGCCCATAGATGCCCATAGCCAATGAATTCTGTGAACCAAATCTCAGAATAGGTGATGAGAACATTAAACCGTATTCAACCGCTATAATCACTGGGAAACCCATCGATTTTCCCTCAGATCAGTGTTTACTACCATGGTTTCCCATAGATCACGGCCGAGGATCATTGATGCCATGGACACTCTGACTTCTGCCTTGAACATTTGCCGACTCATCGCCTTGTCCAAGTCGCAGCAGGTGTTGGTGGTGAACCCCGGGTCCATTTTCCGGTCGAATTTGGATTCAAACAGGGTGCCACCATGTGCCACCCCTTTTTCAGACCCCCCAACCCCCCAAAAAATCTTGGATTCACATGACGTTTTTGCGAATTTGAGGTTCAAGGCCCAATCGTCGGAGATCGTCGGTTGCGCTAGGCAGACTTCATGCGGCAAGCTTTACATGGAACTGCGACGGGAAAACACTTGGATTTGGAGGTTCGGCGAGTGGCAGATGGACAGATTCTCTGGTTGATGGACACGCAATTGATGGACTCATCGTTCGATGGGTTTTTTTTTGCCGTGCTGGGGAATTGTATCGAAAGGATTCGAAAGGTGGCATGGCATCAACTTAAATCATCTTAAATCAAGGCTCAAAAATTTGTCATCAATCATCTAAGATGGCTAAAATATGCTATTGTCATCAATCATCTATGACTAAAATGTCATCAATCATCTAAGATGGCTAAAATATGCTAAAATGATCTCATGAAAAAGTCCATGGTTCCTACAGGCCATGCTGGGGAAGATCTCCAAGCAGATTGATGCGGAACTGAAGATGTTGGACCATGGAGAGGGAACGACCTTGGCCGCAGCTCTCAGTGAGGCCTCAGCACCTTGGATATCCGACGGCCGAAAGTACCGGGGCTTGGCAAATTTGAAGATGGAACAAATCTGGGGTTGTTTTTGAAGATGGAACAATCATTTTGCCCAAATATATCAGGATATATCAGGATATATCAGGATTGTTTTGGACATGTTATCAGATGTTATCAGATGTCATCATATTTTGGTGGCATCTATTCGGACCTTCGAGTGCCAGTAATTATCTACATCCCTCACAATGGTTGGTCAATTTGTTACTCATTTTGCGTTGAATCCGGTCTTTTCGTGACACAATCTCAATACTTCATGTGGAAAATGTATATCCCCAAAAATTGGGTAACATCTTCATTTTTTTCAGTTTTGTTCACAATTTCGTACTGTATTTTTTTGGATAAGCACACCTTTTCAGAGTTTTTATAATTTTAATTCCAAGAGTCTCCTGAATACCCTTTGGTAAACTGACATAGCTATAGAAAACAGCCCAGTTTATAATTGATTTACCTATGAAAAATCGTGATTTTCCAGTTCGCAAACGGTTCGTTGACCGGGAATTTCTTGTTGACCCAGGGGACACTTGACATCCTTAGGTGAATTTGGAGCAGATGAAACGTGATCGTATCACCATGGTGGCCCACCTCGTTAGTCGTGTGCGCGAAATTCTGTCCGAACGAGCCAACAGTGGCGCTTAGGGGCAAAAAGGCGGTGATCAACGTTTTCTGGGGCATCTGGTGAAAAACATATATGGAAAATATTGGAGAATGGCCCGTTTATAGATGATTCATGATGATCTACTTGTTAAAAACGGTGATTTTCCATAGCTATTATAACCAGAGGTTGGATCTGCAAATGATGAGAAAGTGACCAAACCAACAATCTTGAAAATCAACCGATAAATAAAGGGTTTGGATGACGCCAAAGATCCGTTGGCGATGTAATCCACCGGGGAGTGATATTTTGACAGAAAAAACATATGTTTATAGGGATGCTTCCCACACCTCAAAACCTCACTTTATTAGCTGAATTACAAGTTTTTGAGTTCTGGGTCCAACAATCCAGTCTATCACCATTTTGACAAGGGCTTATACCAGTTACCCTCTGGTAAACTAACATAACTATGGAAAATCACAATTTTTAATGGGAAAACTCACTATAAATTGCCATTTTCAATAGCTATGTTAGTTTACCAGAGGGTAGTGTGGGGATGGGTCAAAATCTATGATATGATATCTTGAGGGAACGCACATTTATCTATCAACAACAACTACTAGGATGTGACACCCAGGGTAACAGCGTTTTGCTCCAGAACCATATCATAGTATCCTTAATGTGTTTAAAACAAAGCCGGATGATTCCTGAAGGCTGCCGTATTATACGGTCAATATCGCTTGTATCATAGCTTATATATATATTATATATTATCAATATATATTATATCAATATATATATAATTATGTATATATATATATATCAATATATCAATGACATGTACAGTACATCCTCAAATTTCGTTGGCAAGACCCATCGTCCAAGGGATCCCTAATTTTTCATCAACCCCGAATGATTTTCTGGGTTTCTCCAGGCATTTAGGCCCGAGGCCAGAGGCAACGTGGGAGGGTAACTGGAGGCCGTCAGCTTGGTGAATCGGGAATAGTAATGCGCTGATAATGAAACATGTTGTGCTGATCAGAAAAATCCAGAACAATCCAGACATATTCTGGTGAATTGTTGTGCTGATCAGAAATATCCAGAAATATCCAGAAATATCCAGAATCAGTTTGTCAGTGTTAGTGCTGTTGCAACCTTCAAGTACCCAGGAATCTTTACATATTTTGTGCAGGGTATGTAAGATCTGCCAGACATTCTGGGGAAGTAAGTTTCTCAGAAATGGGGGACCCCAAATGATGGATTCTCCGTTCACTAAAGGGCCATGTTATCAATCAACATTGGGATTTGGGGTACCCCAATGTCGAGGAACACCCATATGCCTCAAAACGACCATTTCAGGTCGATGAACTTCGTGTTATCTTGGTCCTTGTGGGACTAATCCCAGAGATTCTATAGATCCAACCGTCAAAAATGGTGCGCATTTTCCAACCAGCCTGACGTGGAAATGGAATCAGCCTGGTAGGCTTTTGATATCCCAACGATGATGCCAGTTTATTGTGGATGTGGAGGACAACGAGATAAGTTGGAGTTGGTTAGTGTTGACTATGGTTTGGATTCCAATGGCGTCTCATTTCATCATAGAATCCCCAGTAGAATGGCTATGGGTGTCCCATGGTATTCCCTATATCTCACTCCCGATCCTTGGCGATGAAAAGGCCCCAAAGTGGCTGCTCACAGAAGACGACTGTAGGAATTGAGGGGCGGTTCAGCCCAACCATGACAATATATATATATACTACCATTGAAAAGGGGATTGATGCCTATGTATGACTGAAATCCCCGTCAACCAGTCAGTTTCTGTTAGGACCTTAAGGGTTACCAGACATGATACTTGAAGGACTGCTGGTGGAAACGATGTGTGATTGACGCATGTTATGATTTGGCTCATAGCGAAGAACCATGAACTTCCCATGTGAGCCGCTGCACCCTCAAGAAGCATGATCGCAAATGGGTGCCAAACATGGAAAAAAGACATCTCCACTGCACTTGACACTAATGCTAGATGAAGGTCTGAAAATCACGCGCCATATGAATCTGACAAGTGACCCATCTCTTAAGCCAAGTGGCTGGCATGGCTGGAAGTTCATTTCCATACTTCAACATAGTTCAGTCGCAGCTTCAGTACCTGGAGTTCTGCCTATCCCTTTTCCGCACCCTTGCGGTGGCCCGTTCGATGGGCGACACCAGGCTCGAGATGATAGGGCTGGGCCACGTCGGACAGCCAAGCTCCTTGAATCAACAAGCATCATCCATGGTCGGAATTCATGGAGCCCTTGCTGGAAGACCTGAAGGACTTAGAACCTTAAGCAGACAGCAAGGTCGTAACGAATTCCTTGATTTCTTCTTGAGCCCATTTTGCAGTCGTCATGGTCCCCAAAAAAAACGGCTAGGCATGAGACGCGCAGTGGCGCGACTCACCTTAAGCCAGCAAAATTGGAAGCAAGTGAACAAGCAGGCCATGGGGGATGGAAATGGATGAGTTGAATCAATGGAGCTTCATGTCTGTCAGAGCTTTCTGAATCTTTCCGGCACCGGAGAGACTCCTCCTTTATCTGAAACATTGAAAAGGGATATGAAGTTGGTGGAAGACGTATCCAACATGTATCAAAATGTCGTAAGTGGACATCCATCCAGAATCAAGTTCATCAGCTGCTCAATGGTTCAGAGATGTTCAGAGTCTCGTCCTGCCAAAACAGGTCTTAGAAGAGGTGCGGCGCGCCGAATTTGTGGCCTTTGACTTGGAGCTCACAGGGCTTCATGTGACTGGGAGATGATGGTTTTTTTGCGTGGAAAAAAAGGTGGCCCCCCTAGCAATCCCTAGCTCTACGGTGCTTTATTTATTTTAGAAATTGCTGGGTGATTTTCTATGATTTATGGATGTCAATGGTAGATAGATCGAACTAGTTCAATGCCATTTATAAACCAACTCGTAATTGGGGGTTGTGGTTAGTTGGCTAGGTGAGTGGGCGGGCTGGATCTGAAAATGATCAGAGATCTCTCTGACGATTTGTGTCCGTGGAAGGCTGCCGTCCCTTGTGAATTTCAAAGCAGAAACCCTGCAAGGGATCGTGCGCCCGAAACAGAGATTTGGGTACTGCCCGGAGCAAGACTACTGGAAGGTCAGAACGACCGCTGACACAAACAGTAGACATCAGTAGACCATGGACCATGTGGGTCCGCTGGTCCCCAATTATTGACCCAGACCGTCCAACGGGCGCACTGGCTCCAGGTGAAGAACGAACGCTTCATTGGTGTGGAGCGATGCTATTCTGCTCACCGTGAAGGCGCACGAACCTTTCTGCCTGTGCAGGCGGGACCCCATTTAGCCGCGCAAAAAGGTCCATGGGGATTCGGTATGCCACTGTAAATTCCCCATTCATCCCCATTCCATCCAGTGGTTGAACTGGTAAACCATGATTTTCCCTATGTACCCTCTGGTAAACTAACATAACTATGGAAAATCACCATTTTTAATAGGTAAATCAACTATAAATGGGCCATTTTCAATAGCTATGTACCAAATTACCAGAGGGTAGTCCCAGCTCGGGGATAGACCCCGCTGAGACGGCGTGCAGCACAGGTGGGGCTCTGCGCTGCACGCCGTGATCCTGCGAAGAGCACAGGGCCAGGGTTACCCAGTGGAAATTCGACAGGGAAGCTCCGAGCTGTGCCGTTAGATGTTCTTTTTTTGACATTTTGTTTCTCATGAAAATCTGATTGGTGCTTCGGAACATTTGGATTATTTTTCCATTTCAGCTGGGAATGTCATCATCCCAACTGACGATTCGTCCATCATTTTTCGGGGTCGGTCAACCAACCAGAAAACGCCATAGAAATATGCTGGTTGTTGTCCCAGGACTTCGGCCCACTGGATCTTGTCGCCCGTGTCCTTGTACGTCTTCCCGCAAAAAGCGGTGCGGAGGGCGGGAGATGTAGGAGATGACTGTGACTGCAGCCGATCTCGTTGAGGCATGTTGAGGCAAAATCTGATGATTCAAGAGAAGTACCTTACATCAATGTCCTCATGATGGAGATATATGGAGATATGGTGGTTTTCCAACTTGAGAACCCCACAAGCATTGGTGCCATGAAACATGACAACTATCCAACGCCCCAGGCAGAGCATCACTTCTCGGTTTCAGCTCCTTGGTCTCACAATGTTCCACGGATGGGATGATGATCCAAAATCTTTGATCATCGATACATGGTAAGCCCAAAGAAGATAGGCAATTCTTAAAAGCTTACCATCCACTACTAAGCCCATTACCATCCATTAAAAGATATATACTTGGTAATTATCGATATATGGTAAGCCCACCATTACTATAGACATCGATAATTAAAAGAGGTAAGCCCAAAGAAGATGGAACCGTCAATTTTAATCACTATATTAGAAGGATTTCACTTGTCTATCTTTAGTGGGGATGGCTATAGATGCTAAGCATGATGGCTAACATGATTTTTAGAATGGCTGCGGTGAATAGTGGATGGGTTTTTCAGCCAACAAGAAGCAGTTTTGGGATGTTGAATACGTTTACATAAAGAGGTTGGTGGTTTGGAACATGAATGTTATTTTTCCATATATTGGGAATAATACTCCCAACTGGCTTTCATATTTTTCAGAGGGGTAGGTATACCACCAACCAGATAAAGATTTGGATCTATCTTGGACATGAATGATCTATGGTGAGCTCATTGCAGACATCATCACACATACTGGTAGCGGTAAGCATGGAGGAAATCATCAAAACATGAGTGACTTTAAATTGCCGAGAGATATCCAAAACAGTCATATCGCACACGTTTGACTAACGTTTACAAGAGTGATGAATAGTGAATCCATGAATGTAAATTGTACATGTTTTATGCTATATACTGCAGATGTTCCACATAGCCCGCACCTCATGCCCACAACCCCAAACATTACTTGGATATATCCAGCAATAGTTCTCCCAGAATTGATTGATTGCAGGAAAAAAAATGGAAAGATTACAGGTACCACCCTAACAGAATTCGGGTAAAAGCCATGGTTGCCTGTAAAAGATGCTCTCATCAATCCATTGGCATTAAACCCCTTCCCAAAAACATATATTAAGCACCCATAAGCACGAAATCCTGAGTTAATTGGAGCTATTCATGAATTGGGGGTCATTTTTGGTGGTGACATTGTCCATATGCCTCTAGATGATCGACCATGAGGCCGCCACGATGGTCTTCCTAGACGAGAACGGCTTTAACTTCAACAACTGGGTTAGGCGAGGTGAAGGGATTGAAGGGCACAGCCATGAAGAAATTGCCATGGGAAAGCATCGATCATGGCTTTTTTCGGAACATTTTTTCGGGACCCGATGGCTTTTGTTGAAACAAAAGATGGGAAATCCGGTGAAGATTTTCCATTTCATGGGAAACATGGTGATCCACCAATGGTGATCTACCAATGGTGATCCACCAATGGTGATCCACCAATGGTGTTTTTTTGGAGGGTATACACTCCATTGTCAGACTCGACTCTCAAGCCATGTTTGTTGGAAAAATTGTGTTGAATTTCCCTGCAGATATGGCCTCGGATGGCTCAGACCCTCTGATGAGGAGGACGGTCGATCGATTAGTAGTCGGACAGCCAGTTGATCCAGGTTGAACTGGTTGAACTTAACAGAAGGATCAGGAACTGTAGGTTTTGGATGGTTTTGGTGTGATCTACCCTCTGGTAATCTAACATAGCTATTGAACATGGCGTTAGAAATAGTGGATTTACCCATTGAAAATGGTGGATCTTTCCATAGTTATGTTAGTTTACCAGAGGGTATTTATATAATTTCATATTACATCTCCACAACAAAATGGGGCATTCTAGACCTCATTATCTTGGTTAGATACCCATCTTTGAAGCTTTGTGGCGTGGGATCCGCACATATATTTTTCATCCCCGATTCAACAATTTGTAATTATGGGAAACCGATATCGTTTCTAGGGGAATACAAGAATTTCAGAAGCTACTCCTGCACTCTTGGGAAAGGTGACTATCATTACCATTATGAATATATTTGTTACATCGTATAGCCATTCCTGTAAACTTTAAACTGTGACCTCTAGTCTATTTATCACATAATTATAATTGCCATACTTACTTATATCCCATGATTATAGATTATCATTATCATATAACACCCTACAACCAAATTATCCCTATAGATTTCCCACATGTGGATGGCCTATCTCAGGAGAAGCGCCGCAGCGTGCAGCAACGCATCGACGAAGTGCAGCGCTTGAAGCGCGCTGCGACGGCCACAGCTCCGAGCGCCGCGGCTCCGAGTGAGGAGCAGCCAGCCTTGGAGATACCGGAAGGTGGGGGTTGGGTACCCTCTGGTGTCAATGCGGATTGAATGGGAAGCATCAATAGGAAATTTTGATGGGATTCAAATGGGATCTGGATCTGCCCTTTTGGAATCTGGGAAATCCCCGAACTCAACGGATGTTTATAGCTGGAAAAATCATTGGGAATTGTCCAGCTAGCCATGTTTGAGTGGGGCAATCCGGGCAAAAACTGCCATTTGGGGATGGTTTTAAGGACCAATTTATTGTTTGGGGATGGTCTATTTTTGTCATTGTGATTATGCTTGTCTCATTGTAAAAATGCCGTAAAGAACAAAGATAGTGAAGTTATAAAGATATAATATATGGTGCATATCATAGTGTATATATATATATAGTATATATATATGTACGATGGACCTTCATGTACTATTTGACCGTTGACTATTTGATTCCATTTCAAATTGAAAGCAATCTCCCAGACGCCAAAAAGAGGTTCAGAGAGACTTTTGGGAGAAGTTCATTATATTTTGAATATTTTGAAATTCAAAAAATTCAAAATATTCAAAATATTCAAAATATTTTGGTACTGGTTAAATTTTTTGAATATTTTGAATATTGTGAAATTAAAAAAATTCAAAATATTCAAAATATTTTTGTATTGGCTAAATTTTTTGAATATTTTGAATTTTTTGAAATTCAAAAAAATCAAAATATTCAAAATATTCAAAATATTTTAAAAATAATGAAATCACCAAAAAAGAGGTTCAGAGAGACTTTTGGGAGAAGTTCATTATATTTTGAATATTTTGAATATTTTGAATATTTTGAAATTCAAAAAATTCAAAATATTCAAAATATTTTTTGTATTGGCTAATTTTTTTGAATATTTTGAAATTTTTGAAATTCAAAAAATTCAAAATATTCAAAATATTTTTATATTGGCTAATTTTTTTCAATATTTTGAATATTTTGAAATTCAAAAAATTCAAAATATTCAAAATATTTTTGTATTGGCTAATTTTTTTGAATATTTTGAATATTCTGAAATTCAAAAAAATCAAAATATTCAAAATATTTTGTATTGGCTAATTTTTTGAATATTTTGATATTTTGAAAATTCAAAAAGTTCAAAATATAAAAATATTTTGTATTGGCTAATTTTTTTGAAATTTGAATTTTTTTTGAAATTCAAAAAAATCAAAAAGATTCAAAAATATTAAAAAATAATGAAATCACCACAAAAAGAGGTTCAGAGAAGACTTTGGGAGGAAGTCATTTATTTTGAATATTTTGAATATTTGGAAATCAAAAAAATCAAAATTTCAAATATTTTTGTATTGGATAAATTTTTGAATATTGAAGATTTGAAATTCAAAAATTCAACATATTCAAAATATTTTGTAGTGGCTGAATTTTTGGAATATTTTGAATATTTTGAATATTTTGAAATTCAAAATATTCAAAATATTTTTGTATTGGCTAAATTTTTTGAATATTTTGAAATTCAAAAAATTCAAAATATTCAAAATATTTTTGTATTGGCTAAATTTTTTGAATATTTTGAATTTTGTGAAATTCAAAAAATTCAAAATATTCAAAATATTTTTGTATTGGCTAAATTTTTTGAATATTTTGAATATTTTGAAATTCAAAAAATTCAATATATTCAAAATATTTTTGTATTGGCTAAATTTTTTGAATATTTTGAATATTTTGAAATTCAAAAAATTGAAAATATTCAAAATATTTAAAAAATAATGAAATCACATAAAAGAGGTTCAGAGAGACTTTTGGGAGAAGTTCATTATATTTTGAATATTTTGAATATTTTGAATATTTTTAAATTCAAAAAATTCACAATATTCAAAATATTTTTGTATTGGCTAAATTTTTTGAATATTTTGAATATTGTGAAATTAAAAAAATTCAAAATATTCAAAATATTTTTGTATTGGCTAAATTTTTTGAATATTTTGAATATTTTGAAATTCAAAAAATTCAAAATATTTTTGTATTGGCTAAATTTTTTGAATATTTTAAATATTTTGAAATTCAAAAAATTCAAAATAATTTTTTTGAAGAGTTTGAATTTTTGAATTCAAAAATTCAAATGTCAAATATTGAAAAATAATGAAATCACCAAAAAAGAGGTTCAGAGAGACTTTCGGGAGAAGTTCATTATATTTTGAATATTTTGAATAGTTTTGACATTCAAAAATTCAAAATATTTGTATATGGCTCTAAAGTTTTGAATATTTTGAATATTTTGAAATTCAAAAAATTCAAAATATTCAAAATATTTTTTGTATTGGCTAATTTTTTTGAATATTTTGAAATTTTTGAAATTCAAAAAATTCAAAATATTCAAAATATTTTTATATTGGCTAATTTTTTTCAATATTTTGAATATTTTGAAATTCAAAAAATTCAAAATATTCAAAATATTTTTGTATTGGCTAATTTTTTATTTTGAATATTTTGAATAAAAAATTCAAAATATTCAAAATATTTTTGTATTGGCTAAATTTTTTGAATATTTTGAATATTTTGAAATTCAAAAAATTCAAAATATTCAAAATTTTTGTATTGGCTAAATTTTTTGAATAAATTCAAAAAATTCAAAATATTCAAAATAATAATGAAAATCACCAAAAAAGAGGTTCAGAGAGACTTTTGGGAGAAGTTCATTATATTTTGAATATTTTGAATATTTTGAATATTTTGAATATTTTGAAATTCAAAAAATTCAAAATATTCAAAATATTTTTGTATTGGCTAAATTTTTTGAATATTTTGAATATTTTGAAATTCAAAAAAATCAAAATATTCAAAATATTTTTGTATTGGCTAAATTTTTTGAATATTTTGAATATTTTGAAATTCAAAAAATTCAAAATATTCAAAATATTTTTGTATTGGCTAATTTTTTGAATATTTTGAATATTTTGAAATTCAAAATTCAAAATATTCAAAATATTTTTGTATTGGCTAATTTTTTGAATATTTGAAATTTTGAAATTCAAAAAATTCAAAATATTCAAAATATTCAAAAAATAATGAAATCACCAAAAAAGAGGTTCAGCGAGACTTTTGGGAGAAGTTCATTATATTTTGAATATTTTTATTTTTTTGAAATTCAAAAAAGAACACAATATTCAAAATATTTTCGTTTTTGGCTAATTTTTTTGAATATTTTGTTTGTTTTTTCGAAATTCAAAAAAATCAAAAAAATGTGAATGCATATTTTTTTGATTTTTTTGAATTTTCTGAATTCAAAAATTATAAAACATTGAAAACATGAATACCCCAAAAGTGAGAAGCTGGGCTCCCAATAGTAATCTATACAGTATATGGAAAAAACTCAATACTAAACTATGTATTCAAAAACAAATCCGAATACTAAACTGTGTATTTGAAAAAAAAACTACTGCTAAACTAAGTCTGGCTCTCTTTCTGGGAATTTCATTTTGTTATTGTTTTTTTGATTTTTCTGAATTCATTTTTTTTTAATATAGGCGTTTCTTTTTAATCCATCATTTTTTCACTTTTTATCTTTTATGTTATTTTTCTGATCCTTACATTATTAATATTGTGTCATAACACCATCAATTCTTAAATATATATTTCTTTTTTCCTTAGTTTCTATAATATTTTTTTTAATTCCATGTCTTCATCTTTTCAAATTCAAAAAAATCAAAAAAATGAAAAAAAATGAATACCCCAAAAGTGAGAAGCTTAGCTCCCAATAGTAATCTATATATATGCAAAAAACAACTCAATACTAAACTATGTAACCATGCATTTAAACAATACTAAACTATGTATTCATTTTAAAAAAACTACTGCTAAACTAAGTCTGGCTCTCTTTCTGGGAATTTCATTTTTTTTTTGACTTCAAAAATTCAACAAATTAAAGCAAAAAATGCATACTCCAAAACGAGAAGCTGAGCTCCCAATAGTAATCTATAAATGCAAAAAATGTCAAGACTAAAAGATGTATTCAAAGCATACTAAACTATGTTTTAAAAAACATGCTAAACCATGTGTGTGTGGTTCCCTTTCTGAGAATCTTATTATATACTTTGTTGACCCCAAAAATCATCAATACTAAACTATATATCCACCCAAAAAAGCCACCAATATTAAACTATGTAGCAAAATAAGGAAACAAACTGCAGACAATGAAAGTCCTGTGTCCCAAAAGCACCCAAAAAGAACAACAGTAATGAGGAGAGAAGGGAAGAAGGCACTGGGAAAGACTAGAGGAACAAGTAATGAAAGAAAGGGAAGAGGAGAAAAGCTCTCTTCTCCGTCCCAAAATGCTGGAGACCTAGAAAGAAGCACGGTAGTGGAGAGAGGATAAGGAGACCGCTTGGAGGGAAACATGTGGTAGTGACCGAGGGTAAAGGAATGTAACGGATAATAGGTTTCGTCCCAAAGCACACAGAGACAAGCAAGGAGACTTATACGAAGGAAGACAAGTAGGGAGAAGCATTCTGCCCAAAGCAGCCTGAGAGAAGAATAGCAATGGGGAGCGAATGAAGGATACAACTTGGAGAGAACAAGGGATACAAGTATACAACTTGGAGAGAACAAGGAAGACACGTACGGAAACAGATGGCAGACGAGAAGAATCAGGGGTCCCAACAAGCACCTAGAAAGAAGAAGAGCAAGAGAGAGAGAGAGAGAGAGAGAGAGAGAGAGAGAGAAAGAAAAAAAGAAAGAAAGAAAGAAAGAAAGAAAGAAAGGAAAGAAAGAAAGAAAGAAAGAAAGAAAGAAGGGCACGAAATGGAGACAACAAGGACGACAAGTACGGAAACAGACAATGGACAAGGAGCATCCGATGAGCATCCTGTGCGCCGGAAGCACCCAGAGAGAACAACAGCAACGAAGAAAGAAGTGTCAAAACAAGTTGAGAACAAGCAGAGAGACGGGCGCAGAAACAGATGGGACACAAGGAGAGTCCTTTCCCCAAAGCAACCAAAACAAAGAACACTGAGCAATGGATCAACAAGGGAGACAAGCACAGA